AAATAGTAAGAGAGCGGTTAATAAGAAAGAATACAAAACGAAAGAAGCACAACTAACCATCGGCAAACAGTTCCGCCAAACAGGCCTCGCGGACCCCAGCCTCGTAAAGGTTGAACTTCTGCAGCATGCACGCCTCGTACTCTTCATCGAGCCCGGCGTACTTGCCCAACTCCGATTCATATGAGTTCGTGCCGCCTTTTTTCCACACAGTTGGCTCCTCAACAAATTCACTCGCCCATTCCCCGGGAGTGGGCTTCACGTAGAAGAAGCGCTCGAACCACGTCTTCTTCAACTTTGGCGATCCGTACACAAAGCCCTCGGGCCTATTGTCACGCCGCTTGATCGAGAGACAGTCGCTCGTCTTAGTGGGCTCCTTAATCTTGTAGAACTTGAGGAACAGCCCGTAGGTGGGCTCGATTTTGAGCCTCTTGCACGCAAGTCGGAGGCAGCTAGCGTGCATAATGATGGAGGGAGACAGCCGCCCAACCGAGCAGTTGAGGCGCCTATAAAGCGCGCACAACAATGGGTTAATGGGAAATTTGAACCCCATCACCCAATACTCCGTGTAGACGCCAAACCAGCCCGGGGGGCAGTTCCCGACCATACTCCGCACAGACGGAACGGCGTACTCCCAGCTGGGGGGCAACCCTAACCCGCGCACAATTTCCTCCACGTCTTGGCGACTGTAGATGGAGGCATGGTCAGGCCCGCGCAGAAGGTTGTCATGAGGCGCCGGCTGATCTCCCCACATTTCCGCCCAATCTATGACGGTGTAGGCCGCGCCCACACCCTGGAATCCCAGGCGGCTAATTGCCTCGGACGTGCGTACTTGATAGAGCGGCTCCGACTGCCTGTCAGACCCCTCACGCGTCCCCGAATTCGTGGCCTCAGGTCTTCCATCACGATCGCGACGGATAATCAACACCCCACGAGCTCTCGCGCCCGATTGACCACTCCCTGACACAACCACATGCGCGTCCGGAGAACCAGCCCAATCCCTTTCGGAATCATTGTCGAATGACGGCGTCGCCGGAACCCCCTCACCGCCATCTGCCCCGCCACCGTCACCGTGGCCGGAACCGGCCAAATCCAGTGAACGGTCGGAAGAAATAGGTGAAAAAGAAGAGAGATTACCTTCTTCGCCCTGCACGACCTCGGTCTCGTTGATGTTGGTGCTATCCATGGCAATGATTTTCAGGTTAGCAACAGCAAAAGGGAGAATTGAGGTTGTAGAAGAAGGAGAGGAATCTCAGAGATCAGAGGAGTTAGAAGTGGGGAGTAAATCGTACGAATGCAGAATGAGTGGCAACCCCCCGAGAGTAGGTTGTATTTATAGTTGATGATGGGAAGCCGAAAGGTTAAAGTGGCTCGGGAGTCGTAACCGTCAGAACCTTTTCGAAATTCAAAACGGCCGCCAAAACCGGACAATCACACAACGACATGTGGCAGACCTAGATCCCAGGCAATCATAACAGGCATAGGCAATAACCGTTGACGTCACCAGCGCTGCGCAACGCCTGGGGGGCATGGCACACCCACGAGTAAGAAAAAAGCGCCCCCAAAATCCAACCCCAAACAAAAGCGTCACGCGCAGCCAACCGAGAATCGCGCGGAAGAACAGACAGGCGCCGTTCGCGGAACACCCACAGGCGCACCAGCAGAAAAAATCCCACGAAGATCGCGCGGGCCAGAGCCAATCCCACAAAACCGTGCTATCAACGCAACAACCGTGACGAATCCCATGAAAGCCGCGCGATCAGCATGACTCCATCCAGGCGGAAAGTCAGCATGATCAGTAACGAACCCGGAAGGTCTATCCCACGGAAATCACGCGGGTCCGAGTCAATCAGGCGGAAATCAACAGGAGGTATTCGCGGAACACCCCCTGATGGGGGCAATTGTTGGGCATGTGACTCGGACCAAGCCGCACCAGAGAAACGCACCGACACTACCCCAGTTGCTGCCGGACCCGCCTAGTTGCGCCACGTCCGAAGACCTCTCGCGCGACACAGCGTGAAGACACCGGCGCGGCTCAGCGCAAAGACCTCAAGCGCGTTACAGGCTACGCGCGCGTAGAGAGATCAAAGCGCGGACCAGACCAAAGAGCCGCAGAAAGCGTCATCGTGCTTCCCGAGAGGTAGTCACATCAAGGGCCTAGGTACAGTCATAGGTAAACCTCTGACATATCCTAGGTAGAGGCATGGCCTAAATCCCTGACATGTCAGTGGTCATGTCGTTGTACCATCATGTAATCCAACCACTCACCCACCACCATGTAGCCTATAAATATGGCATTTACTCCGGTGGGTGAGGGGATCACATTTTTCACTCTCTCACTCTACTACTACGAACTTTCTCTCTCTAAAAAGCTCTGGTGTCCCAAACCTTTCTATTGTTTACTCTTCTCACCCTCCTTTCTCACGAGTCTACCTCCTACTCTCAGTTAGACTCAAACAGTATGCTTACACCCACTAAATTAATTGATTTGTTCACAAATAATACATTTTACTTTCTTTTAGTTATTGGTAGTGAAATCTATTTCATCACAAAAACTAAGTTGAAGTGTTAAATGAATTACTCACCTATGTTGAAGTTGTAATCGACTAATCGTGATTGATTAAATATAACATTTGGTAAATTGTTTTGTTTACCGGTTCTAAAAATAGTTTATCTTGAGTTACGCTTACTTGAATGATGTTATTATCAAGATATTCACACAGATGCATCGAAGTAGGCAACCATAGAGGTCGGACCAAGATGGCACAAATAATGGAAAATGAAAGGAACGAACATCGACAGATGTGACATGATCTCAAACATTTGCCTTGTCTGTGTGCAACATATGACATATGTATCTTAATCTAGGGAAAATCCTTACGAGGCAAAGCCAAAGCTATGATTCCGTAATAGACTAATGGTAGTGTGCTCTCAAATGTAAGTTTCAAGTGCCTACACTTTTGGATTAATTTTTCATCTAATGATAAAGGAAACGAGCTTTTGCTTACTATTGGGAACCGTAGATCGTTATATTTTTTTAACAAAAGGTAATCATATTGATTGATAAAAAGATCATGAATTACATCCTGGACCCAATCCAGACACGAAAATCATACAATTTACATGAAGTCGGAGGCAATGAACGGACCTCCATAGCCACTGAATGGGATACCCTATTGCTAATGCGACCCACCAATCGAACATGAAAACCACTATTCAGAGCCATCATACGCAAAATCTATAGGACAATAGCCCCAACACGACTGTCTTGAGCATCCTTGGCATTAATCTTATTAATGAGCATCTTCGCATCACCTTTAAACCGAACTTGACAATCCCCAGATCCTGACACCACCGAATAGCTTCACGAAGGACAATAGACTCCACCATAAGAGGGTCAACAATGTTTTCAAGTACCATTCCTCTTGCTAAGACCACTAACCAACCTTTAAGATAAGCCCACGTACTGCACCATCCCACATACAGATGACAGAGGTCGAATCTACCACCTCCAGATTCTACTGCAAAGGAAACTGATCTCATATCACCCTATCCTCCGGTAAGGACACCCATTCATGGAGTTCTGATGGTATTGGCGCATTAGTCGAGGAATCAAAAACTGCTTGCCCTTAAAGGCAACCTAGTTTCTAGATTTCCAAATACGCCACAGGAGCGCCCCCAGAGCCATAATCTGCGTCGGCTGGGTCATCCTAATCAAATACTTTTTAAGGAAAATAGAAATGAATGGCGCGGCAACCCGTGCCCCAAATGCTCCAATCTCGAATGAGTACAGAGGGCTGTAGCGATTGGACACTCCCAAAAGAAGTTCTCCATCGTTTCAGGTTTCGCCCAACACACCTGGCATCGAGGCAAGATCTGGATCTTGTTCTCAATCAAAGATTCAGAAAATGACAATCAATTGTCGTAGCTTGTAAGTTGTAACACACGATGAAACTAAAAAACGAATCACAAGCCAAGTTGTGTCATTGCTGGGAATGGAGGTCAACATCCTAGGTGAGGTGACCGATCGATGGACCGGTCGAGTTTCGAAAGACATAATCTTTCTTCTTCTTCTTCTAATCGCAACATGGTGGGTATTTGTTAATTTTATAAAAGTCGATGTCTTGTCAACTTAACAAGATCCTTGTCTTTGCATTTTTCAATACGAGCGCCATGATCACTTGAGAAACAATCCATTTCGTCGAAGTCAAAGCCCTCATTGAAACGTTGCGAGTCGTTACTAGCATAATCAAAGCCTCCTTATACACACTATGTTTTTATCAAGATTCAACAACATGAATCCATTTAGATCATAGAAAAAGAAGGGGAAGCCTATTGGGATTTTCAATATTGACAGACCTCCTCTCATTGTGATTGACCAATTTCGGTTGGATGATGTAAATTCATTACGTGTTCAATAATAGCTTCACACATAGATTACCGTAAAAAAAAAAAAAACACCTCAAGAATCATGGTTGAGTGTTGACAGCCACACAACCAATGAACCAAAAGTAGCCAGCAGCGAGACCCAGATGCTGTCTAGCTGCTGCTGCGGCCGCCATGGCATGGGTCCAACCAAGCTCCAAGTTCAAGCCATTTCCGTCGGCATCGCGCCACCTAAAAATGGGTGAAATGGCCAACTACGCACACGTTGAACGCTGTCTTGAATTGCTCCTCTACCGACCAACTGGACCTTTTCTTCCTTGTTATAACTTTCCTCGCCTTTTCCTTCACGTATTCCCTCTTGACTTTCCTTCTCCTTCCTTCCACGCCGCCCATTTTCTCTTCCCATTGATTTAATCGTTTAAAAAACCCTTCTGCCATCTTCTGCTGCGTATCTCACTCCTTCCCCAGATTCCTTCTATCTTTATATGCCCAGTAGGATTTAAGCCATTAAAGAAATCCCCCTTTTTTTTTTGTTATCTTTCGCAGAGCTCAATTTGGGGTTTCTTAATAATTTCCCATCTGGCTTTTGGATCAATTTCTTCTGAGACCCGGACTGCATGGCTTCTCCTTCTTCATACACTTCGTTAGCGAAGCCTCCGACTCTCTTCACTCTCCATTCCTCATGTCTCCGGCCTCCGCCTGCCCTTGCTTCTCAGGTGGCAGGGCGCCGCCGTCTGACCTTCTCCCGTCGGCAGCAGCACTCTGGCCTCGCCGTGGCTTCTCTTACCAACTCTGCCCCGGTGGGTTTCTGTTCAGCGATTCATTAACTAACTTTACTCTCTTCTCTTATGCAATTTTGCCTTTCTGGTCCCTGGCCATGTCGTAGTTTTGTTAGAAGCTATTTGGGTATGTTTTTTTTTTATGATGGATTTCGTGGGTTCGTAGGCGAGAAATGGGACGTATAAAGTAGGAGATTTCATGACGAGGAAGGAGGATCTGCTTGTTGTGAAGCCTTCTACAGGTGTTGATCAAGGTAAGAACCAAGTGGATTTCTAGATTTCCTTTCCTTTTCCTTTTTTGCTTGTTTTGTCGACTTTTTCTCACTTCTGATGATTGTTTGCAGCATTGGAGGTTATCGTGGAGAAGAGGATTACAGGGTTCCCTGTGATTGACGATCACTGGAATTTGGTACTACTTTGTTTACTAACTCATGCTGTTTAAATGTCTGTGTTCATTTGTTTTGAAATGTTTTGTTAATTTAGCTTAGAAAGGCTAGCATTCCTGCATTTAGATGAGCCCATTACTCCAGTTTGTGTTTAAGATTGTGTAATCTGAAGAGTCCTGAGTGTTTCCATTGATCGATTGTGGCATCATTCCTTCAAGAACTTTGCGAGTTGAAAGGCTACGGCAGCTATGCTGAGCTAGTTAACCAAACAGTTGCAGTCTTAAGATTCATGGTACCAGATTTCATCACTGGGGAGGGTTTGAAAGAAAGTAATCAATTGTTGTCTGTTGCTGAGGCATGAGGCAACTAGTTGACAGTCAGATCGCCAAACAAAGTTATAATGGTGAAACTGATTCTTTCAGTTTCAGTTTCAGTTTTTTTTTTTTTTTTTGCTAGTAGGGTATATTGGATGTTTCCATTAACCCTTTACGCTTGTGGTTCCTTGTAGATACAAGAGGCTAATAACTCTAACGTTTCCGAAAGTGTGCAATTTATTGTTGTTACAGCTAACTTGCTGGTTTTAGCTGTTCATACCATATGTGTCTTCTCTAATATTTGTTTCTTCAATGGCTGATTTCATGTTATTCCTTGTTGCAGGTTGGTTTTGTTTCAGATTATGACTTGTTAGCACTCGACTCTATATCAGGTACTACTAATCTTGAAGCTAAAGTTCCCTTTTCGAGGTTTGAAATCCTGTTGATGTTTACCAGCATTATAGATCACATTAGCACGATGGACCAGGGTTGAGATTTACGCACATGGAAGTGATTCGAAACTCTAAGGCTTTGCGCATATTCTTGCTATCCTTATGTTATTTTTCGTAGTTCTCTTACCTTCTTACCTTTATGTAGGTAGTTTGTGTATCAAAACATGGTATTGCTTTACTGTACCTTCTGGCAATGAAAATTTTCCTTTCTGAACTTGGTAAAACTGTAAACGTTTGAGTATTCCTGTAATGATACATTTGAAATAGAATTTGCAAACCATTCTCTCTGCAAAAGAATACTAACATGCTGTGCTTGTCAATTATGCATTGTTGATCTCCATTGACAAACTAGTCCTTTTATTACTGTTTCTCTGCAGAATTTATTGTCGAAGCAGGTGCTAATTTTGCCTATTTTACTGGTAGGTTGCAATCAAAGTGACAACAACTTATTTCCTGACGTCGACAGTACTTGGAAAGTATGTATGATCATTCCTATATGATGTTTGGTATGCTGGGAGTTCTTACTTTTGAAGTTCATGTGCTGGTAGAATGGACATTCAATACTTTGTGTGCCCATTAGTTTGACTTCCTCGCTAAATGCCAGTATGCTAAGTTTTGTGAATCGAATGTCTAGAATTGGTTCCTGCACACTTGGCATTGTATTCTGAAGATTTCACTGGGATGCATTGCGGAATCCACGCACGTTGCTTGATCTTTTAAGAACTCCAAAGCTTCCTTTGGCAGAATTGATTTCCCTCCTCCTTTTTAGCATTGCCATTGGCAGCCTAATCCCCAATGACAAATGCAGGCATTTAATGAGATTCAGAAACTACTAGGGAAGACAAACGGTAAAGTTGTTGGAGATCTCATGACACCTAATCCCCTGACCGTCCGTGAAAACACCAATCTGGAGGACGCGGTCAGGTATAACTTTCACTGTTTTACTCTGCGCGACTCTGTCTTGCTGCCATGAAAATTTGGCTTTATGTTGTATTGTTCTTTGGATATGAGTACATACCAGAAGCATCTTTTGAAACACCGTATTCTACTTTCCCCCAAAACTCTCAGGCTGCTACTAGAAACCAAGTACCGACGGCTGCCAGTGGTTGATGGTGACGGAAAGCTGGTAAGACTTGTAACGTGCATTCATGGCTTTTTCTTACACAGTTTTTCCTTTTCGTTCATTCGATTCTTTTGTCGTGAGTCTCGTGACACGTCTCTGTTTCAATATCGAAAGGTTGGGCTCCTTACGCGGGGAACTGTGGTCAGAGCCGCTCTGCAGATGAAACGCGAAAGTCCAAGGTCGACTTGGAATCTATGACGACAAGCAACAATCATGGAGAATGTTGTGAGAATTCAAGCTGTAGTTATAATGAATAGGGGTGAAAGAAATGGGATATGAGTAGCATAGGATTTGCCTTGGTAGACAGTTCAAGCATATGCCATGGTTTTGTATTATAGAGAGTATATATTATTCTTCATATGAGAATCTGGAAGTGTAACAGGTTATGTATGAATCCATGCTTGTAACCTTATCGTCTGTCACGATTTTCAGACTCAAGTTGTATGAAATTTGCCCCATAAAGCTTCATTTAGTTCTCTATCATATGGCATTCTAGATTTTGTTTTTGGACAGAAAGGGCTCTTTCATTTTAGAAATCGATTTCTGTAGGGTTTCTCGATTTATTAATATAATTATTATTAGGGTAATTATTAGTAAGGTCAGTAGTCATTTAATAGAATTAGGTTTGTCATATTAAGCATAAATTAATAAAAGAATAATCTCCTTAATCGCTCTCCTCATCCTCTCAATTCTTGACCTCAATCCTTCTAAAGGCTTAGGCAGATTCTCTTCTGTTCTTCCCCAAATTCTCTTCTCAAATCCCTAAATCCCCAATTCTGTTCTATAAACCCTAAATTCTCAATCTCTAGATCTAATCTAGAAACCGGTTAGAAACTCTGTTTCTAACATCTGGTATCAGAGCTGATATGATCCCAAATTTCCCACCATTCACGTCACAATTACTTGACAAAGAAGCTATCAAAGTTGGGAAGAAGAAAGACAGAATTTGGCTAAGTCAAAATCCGTGTTCAGGGTACATACTTTGGAGGCATGGTTATCTCAATTGGCTTGGTGGAAATTCAAGGTCAAGGGCTTGTTTTACAGATAAAGTTTCCATGTTTCCAATGGTATGCTTTGTGGATCCAGATGATGTCATTAAGGTTGTTTTCCAAGGCCTCAAAGTTGCTACCTCAAAACTGGAAAACTGCCAGAAAATGACTAAGGCAGAAAACTGTTTTGTGAAGCCTACTTTGGAGCTCAATTCAAGGAGCATGGATGGGATTCAAGTCAAAAGGCTTCCTCAACATGAAACTAGGTATGTTTTTAAACAAAGGGAAGGAATTGGATGAAGAATTGGAGCTCTGGAAGGCCTCGAACAAAAGGCGCGAACTTAGTACGAAATCACAGAATTTCTGCCTTTGTAAAACAGGATTTTCTTTCCTTATTCAACTATGATTGTTAGATTTGATTCCTTTTCGAGTTAGATTGTATTTAGACTTCCTTTTTAGTTGTTAGACGTAGCTTAGGTTTATTTAAAGCTTTCTTTTACGTTGTAAACTCAGATTTTGAAGAATTGAATTGAAACCTTTGGGTTTTTGCAAGTTTGCGTACTAGTGTAAGCTTTGGTGGATTCCAAGCTCGTTGAGCTCTTGTATCGATCAAGAACGCGTTGATCGTGGCCGGGCATCTATCCTTATATCAATTGAGCCTTTCCCCAGGTGTGGAATTGCACGTTTGATTCCGTTTTATCCAAACACCCAAGAACATCCTTGTTTTTTGTTCGAAATTCGTTTTAATCAATCCAATCCTTGGATTGATTGTGTTAGCTGCGTGACTTTGATAACATACAACCCCCTAGGGTCGTATTAAGTGGTATCAGAGCCTCCGGTTCAAAACCAGAGGCGAAGGAGTCAGGTAAAGAATACTTCTTGTGCAAGAACAGTTTCGTTGAAGAAACAGGGAAAGCAGCCCCTGTTTGTGCAAATTGATTCTGTTTCGTGCTTGAATTACGATGGAAATTCAGCAATTTAATGAGGAAGACGTTAAGAAGATAATGGCAGCCCTTACTGCGGCGTTTCTACCCCAATTCGAGCGAATACAACGCGGAATCGATAAGTTGGAGTCTGCCATTGATAGACGTCTCTGTTCTACTCCGTGGAAACAGAGTCCACGTCCTGGAATGGCTGACGATGAGCTGGGGAACGATTCAAAGGACGTCTCTGAGCGTGATGGTCTTCTCCAAGACGAAGTAAATCTACTCACAACATCCGGTGCCCAGGACAGGAGGGATTCAAGGCGTCGAGAGCCATCAGAGTTTGCCGACTCTGTTTTGTTTCCGAAAAAACAGAGTGTCGAATGTTGCTGTTTTTTTGACGACGAAGAAGAAGAATCGAAGGTCGAGTTCACCACAGAAGTCATATTTGAGGCTGAAGGATTGGCGAAGAGTCGAGGGAAATCGCTAGAGAAGGCAGAAGATGCTCGAACTTCCCCACTGACAAGAACTACGGAACTCTGCCGCTATTCTGCAGAACAGAGTTCCCTAATCGACGAGCTCGTTGCGGCTTTTGTTGATGATTCGAGTGAAGCCACTTCTGTAGAAACATTGAAAAACACCCCAGTAATGAATTCACTAACAAGAGTCGCGGCAAAACAACTTCAAATCAAAGAACCCAATTCGTCAAAATTGCTTCTGCAGAAGCCGGAATGTGACTCCAAAGCTGCTGTTCTCGTCGGAGCAATGGAGAGTGATTCGACCCAAACGATCACTGTGGACGAGTCCCGGGAGGTTTTTGGAAGATGTAGGAGCAATCAATTCGTCAAGACGATGCTTGAACAAGAAACAGCCCAATTTCGAATTGAAGATTCTGGGTAAGGAAATTCTGCAGCAGAACATGTTTGAGCAGCCCACTTGCGATCCAATTTGGGAAAAATTATGTGTACGATTTGAGCAAAGAAAGGCCAAAGTGTTGAGGGCAACACTTTTTCAAGAGAGAGGGCCTGATATGATCCCAAATTTCCCACCATTCACGTCACAATTACTTGACAAAGAAGCTATCAAACTTGGGAAGAAGAAAGGCAGAATTTGGCTAAGTCAAAATCCGTGTTCAGGGTACATACTTTGGAGGCATGATTATCTCAATTGGCTTGGTGGAAATTCAAGTTCAAGGGCTTGTTTTACAGATAAAGTTGCCATGTTTCCAATGGTATGCTTTGTGGATCCAGATGATGTCATTAAGGTTGTTTTCCAAGGCCTCAAAGTTGCTACCTCAAAACTGGAAAACTGCCAGAAAATGACTAAGGCAGAAAACTGTTTTGTGAAGCCTACTTTGGAGCTCAATTCAAGGAGCATGGATGGGATTCAAGTCAAAAGGCTTCCTCAACATGAAACTAGGTATGTTTTTAAACAAAGGGAAGGAATTGGATGAAGAATTGGAGCTCTGGAAGGCCTCGAACAAAAGGCCCGAACTTAGTACGAAATCACAGAATTTCTGCCTTTGTAAAACATGATTTTCTTTCCTTATTCAACTATGATTGTTAGATTTGATTCCTTTTCGAGTTAGATTGTATTTAGACTTCCTTTTTAGTTGTTAGACGTAGCTTAGGTTTATTTAAAGCTTTCTTTTACGTTGTAAACTCAGATTTTGAAGAATTGAATTGAAACCTTTGGGTTTTTGCAAGTTTGCGTACTAGTGTGAGCTTTGGTGGATTCCAAGCTCGTTGAGCTCTTGTATCGATCAAGAACGCGTTGATCGTGGCCGGGCATCTATCCTTATATCAATTGAGCCTTTCCCCAGGTGTGGAATTGCACGTTTGATTCCGTTTTATCCAAACACCCAAGAACATCCTTGTTTTTGGTTCGAAATTCGTTTTAATCAATCCAATTCTTGGATTGATTGTGTTAGCTGCGTGACTTTGATAACATACAACCCCCTAGGGTCGTATTAAGAGCCCGGTTCCGGAAGACGAGTTCATCAAAACTCTTTCAGGGACAGCTTCCTACCAGATCAAATCCAAATGAGTTCAACCGATATATCGGAGCTGACGTGGGCTCAAAAGCAGGAACGATTATGGCAGATCGTGGATTACTGGAAGTCATACGCGTTGCGTCGTAGGAAAGCAGACGCGAAGGACGGCGGTAATGACGCTACGGCGAGGCAGCAGCCGCCCATAGGTGTTGGCGGACCCGACGAGCAGCCGTCTCCGATAAGCGCCGCGGCGGATGACAACGTCGAGACGAGCAACGAGGGCGGGAAGCAGACACCGATGGGTTCTCTACATTCCGTTGCCGGGACTCCTAGCAACCGGATGGAAGACTTGTGGCTGGAGAAGGAGACGACGATGGCGGGTGGCGAAACAAGGAAGTTGATGAGGGAGGCCTCCACCGACGAGGAGGTGAGGCCGGAAGCGAGGTGAGCTGCTAGCAAGAAGAGTCGCTCGCCGGCGGGGAAGTCGACGAATGAGCAGAGAGAGGAGGGCGGTGGCGTCGCTATCTCTCTTGCCATCCATAGGTCATTTTCCATGGTCTGCTCAACACAACATGCCCAAACTCAATTGGGCCCAGAGAGTGAGGCTGGAAGAAGACCTGTACATGGGCTGAAGGCAGATCTATGGAATTGGGCCAAGTGTGTTGATGGCGGCAAGAAGAGTGGGCCAGAGCTGAAAAAGAAGTGGGTTGAAAGAGAGTTAGGCCATGGGTCGAACCAGAAAGTATTAGAAGAGCTTCAAGAAATAAATGGGTTGTGTCTGCAAAAAAAAATAAAAGGCAAAAATGGGCTTTCTGGAAATAAAGTTACCAGGGCACGCAAAAAAAAAAAAACCCCCCTTTCTCTCTTTCGTGGAGAGTGGGAGAGGAACCGTCGCCAACGTGCGCCTCGCCGTAACTGGCATTACACCATCGTGTCCCGGCGGTATCGGGCTGTGGAACGATGGGGGTTATAAAGCCACCATGGTGGGTGAAGCGTTCTCCATCGCTAATTCGATTATCCTTACTCAATCGATTCCAATTTCGGGTTAATATCCTGCTTCTTCATTCCCGATCCTCAGTCATGGCTGGTGTGAATGCAGTGGTCTTCGGGGATGCTGATGTCGTTGCTGGTACCGAATGCAATGACCTCTCTCTGCTGGGGCGGGTGATTGGCTTTGCTCCTCCGATTCGCCATCTTCAAACAACGATGGGGCGGTTATGGGGGTGCCGCGGAGCCATCTCTGTCCTCCCGGCTGCGGAAGGTCTCTTCCAGTTCGTATTCCCGTCGGAGAATGATATGGATGCTGTGTTGAAGCAGTCTCCTTGGTTCCTACCCAAGTTCTTGATCAACCTGGCCCCATGGGTGGAGGTTACTCCGACGGTTGCCGACCAACTCTGGAAAGTCCCCCTCTACCTGCAATTCTGGAATATTCCTCCCCAATGTTGCACTCGGAGGATGGCTTCTCTCCTGGGCTTGGCTTTGGGGAAGAGTGAGGCGGCTGCGGTTCACCGCATCCCAGGCTCCAGCGAACTCTACCTCCGAGCGAAGGTTTGG